TGATCAGGCCCACATCCCGCGTCACCCACTGATGATGCAAGCCAATATGTATCAGTATTAAAGCGTTGAAGCATTGATCAAAACATTCATCCACAGCATCGCTTATATGCAATTTTTTGAAACAATTATCAATCGCTATACGTGCAAAATACAAAGTAGTTTGAGTATAATATAAAAATTGTCGTTATTTTTTCCCCAAAAAAAAAATAACTTCAACCAAGGATAGACTAAGAACCGATACCATAAGCAATAGAATATAAATCATCTAATAGAATAAAAATCTAAATCAAGTACAAAGCAAAAATATAGATAATGCACAAAAAATTGATTTTAAAAAAAAATGGAGGTCAGTGGAAATCGGCAGCCCAAAACTACTGTGGAAATTCTTGACTTTACTCTCATTACTGGGAATCTTACTGGCCTACTGGAACAACTAGTTACAAAAATCTCTGCGTCTTGGTGTTCTTGATTAAACTTTATAAATCCCATAAAGTTTCAATTCATTCCTCATGGAGCCATATTTTAATTTTCTTATTACTCTCTTCATCTGACAGTCCTTACTTGATATCACAATCATTCAGTCATTTTTATCAACAGCATGTAACAGATGTCACTTCCATCTCGTTCAGAATCTCACCACATTCGAATTTCAATGAAACATATTTCACCTATATCATCACGAATTATATTTAGTCTTAATGTAAAGATTCGAAACCTTATATATGCAAACTTAGCCCATGCACATTCAGATGGCTTGTTGCAGAAAAAAATTTTTCAAAGAAAACACCTCAGACCTCCATATTTGCAACCAATCCCCTCTTTTCATTAATTTTAATCTTAACAACAAAATGTTAAAAATATACCAATGCAAGAATTTCCCTAAGATAATTTGTCTAAAAGGAAAGATTGGAAGACCGAAATTGACCAACACTCTTGTCACCCACAATGTATGAATTTACTATTAAGTACTTTTTCAGTTGCCGCTGCATTGGCCACTATAAACCGCCCAGTGCTGATTGTCTTGACATTAATGAGCCAAGTAGGCTGATTAAGATACTTAATTCTTTCATCAATTCCTTAAAAGTAGAAATAAACACCCAAAGGATTTCAGATATCGTTTACCACACATTAATTATTGGTTTACCTGCTCCAGTGGATATCAATTAGACAACTTTCCCTTTTCACCCAAAACTAAGACAGTTCTCATAACATACACCAAAACATGCTAGTTAATTTGATAGGAATATACATCCTCCATCATTATACATTGAGATTCAGGCAAAAGTCTCTCCTGTCTAACTAACAAATCTTTAGCTCACACACTCTTACACGCTCTCTTGTAGTTACGACAAACGTACTAATATTCTCACCAAATCTATAAGTCTGAGTATCTATCTCTCTCCGGCCTTGAATAATCTCCTAAATAAAATAATCGTAGCATTATCCAATAACAACACAAACACCATCCTACGTCAACGACCCATATGTTATTTCTGTAATAGCTGAATTTAAATCGTTCATATGTTCACGCAATTCTTCTAACGCTTTGACAATATTAACACACAACAAAGCGCCAAAATCACGATATGTCTGCAAGCTCTGTCTTTTGCCTAAATTCCTCTTCCCACCCACTTAACCTAACATCTAGAAAGCATACAATAGCTGCATCCGCTTCCTACATCACATATAACAAAACCTGACAGCCAAATCGTGCTATAATAAACTATCTTCTCTCAAGCTGCTCCTTCCTTTCACAGAGCTCTCGTCCTCTTTCGCCTTACGCTGGGATCGACCTGCGCACAACTCTGGACTCTGAATCTCAACAACCTTACATCATGTAAACTATAACAGTTCTCTATGGCAGCATACAACCTTTCTTCTCCTCAATCGTGCCGCCTTACATACTTATATAAAATTCACAATTAAATAAGAATACACCTAAGGAAACGGCATCATTATATCTCAACAAATTTAGATAAAATCTGAGAATGTAAATATAAGTTCAAAAAATTTTACCCTGTTACTGCTGAAAACACTGCAGAGAATAGAGTATTGAACATATATCACAAATAGAAAAATATCATTCATAAGGTGAGCAACGAACACTTGAGACACGCACGGACGTAGTCTCCATTTATGGACGGCTGACGAAAAAGCAACCCTCTTCTTAACTGGTGTTGAACATTAAGTTGCAGCATTGCATACAAAAACCGCAGAAATTTCTAGGCGCAGACTATAGTCCCCAATCTAGAGGTACTTTATAATCTAAAAGCGAACGGTCGTACTATCTTTACGAATTGTTTTAAACTTATTTATATGTATATAAGAACTAATACACAATGCACAAAACAAATTCTCCATTGCAAAAACAAAACAGTTCATTGCAAAAACTCCCA